CATATGTTTCTCTTATCGTGCTTTTGTGTTCCTACGGGAAGATGCTCATTGGGGTTACCTTCTAGGCTCTGTTGAGGATGCTTTGTGACTATTAGAGCATCCCATTCTAGCATGGTGAACAAGCTCAGACCAGTAAGAAGAGGCATAAAAAAAATTCGTCGGATACGTAGAGCGATCTGACCTTGTAACACTTTTTGCAGTATATCAATAAAGTGACCCTCATTGGGGATTTCAAGTGATCTTCGTTGGTGATTTATGTGGGCATAAAGATACCTATCCTATACATGGACTAATAAATGCTACAACGGGCTCAAATTAGTGGGACATGCACTTTGAGATGGCGAGAAAAGTCAGTCAAGTCGGTCAAAAAACCATAGAGATATCAAAGAGGGTTGGATGCATGAGATAGTTCAACCTCATGATGCCTTCATAAGTACTGGTACAATGATTACGCTGGGGATTCCTTATGGACTAGTAGAGTGGTCGTTTTTTAAGAAAAGTTGATAGCCCAACCTATAAGAGGGACTCTTGTCGAGTGCCTAATAAGAGGACTCTGTTGGTGAGTATTCTTTGAATTCCACTAGAGATACTCTGTGGGAATGAAAACATCCTCATATTTGCGTGGGTGTACTAGGAAAATGCAGACCATAGTCAGCGCAACATACCTTTTGATATGGTGTATATGATTAACCAAGTCGATCCAAATACCAAAGAGGTATCTAAAGGGTTGGGTGTGTGAGACGATCCAACCTCGGGGTGCATTTTGTAAGCTCCAACTTAGCAACCTGCTTGAATTTCCTCAAGAACGAGCAACGTAGTCTTCATCAAGGAAAATGTCACAACCCAACATGTAGAAGGGACATTTGTCAAACACCTAACGAGGTGACCCGACTGGAGATGTATTGTGGGTATAAAGTGTCCCGCTCAGGCACAGACCGACTAGGCAAACTAAGTGTTGTGGCCGATGCAACATGCCTTATTCCGACACAGCGGTAAGAATCGCTCACATCGCGGGGATGTAATGGTGGGGTTAGACATTAAAAATGGTCTGCCCAAACATGTTTATCCTTTAGGGCCAATCAATAACTGTAAAAGGATATCAACCATATTCAGTCAAAGCGAGCAGAACAATCACATATTCCTCATTCATAAAGGATGAACGGGAATTTTATGTCAACCACACTTACGACAGACATGTGTAATACTCTCTAGACCCTGCAAAAAGTGGATCAATAGGAGACATAGTAAGATAAGTGCAAGGCTTCTCTTATATTGATTATCGGTACCCCCAGGTATAAGCCGCTCATAGGACTTTCACGTTGCCCGAAATGCAGGCCGACAACTAAATTAAGAGAAATACAAGGCTTGTCATACATAAGATTGTTGTGAACTATGATCGTTTTGACAATTTCAAGGTAATACTATAAGCATCTCACATAATGAAGAGATAACAAAAAGTGCACTTTCTTTATTGCTAAAAAAAGGATTATAAAGTGTATATGCTTTGGAAAGCAATTTTCTCATAAAGTACAATGAGTACATGAAAAAAGGTTAAGCAGAATATATTTTCAAACATCTCCCGTTAATAAGGGCATCAAATGAGATCCACTGGCATCAATCAACAACGAAGGTAGCTCAACTTCCAGAGGAAGGACTGCTATGACCCGAGGGTTGACGCATGAGACGTAAAAGAGATGGGTAAAAGCAAATGCAAAAGATAAGTCAACTTCTGAGGAAGGACTTCCAGACTCGAGGGTCGATGCGCGACACATAAATGAGATGGGTGAAAATCCATAAGAAGTGGCAGAACATTCTTCTTGAAGGATGGTTCACCTAGACTTGTAGGTCAACGTGCGAGGCATGAAGGGTATGGGTAATAACTCATATGAAGACAATCCATTCCTCTAAAGGAAAGGCCACCTGACCTGGAGGTCGACGTGCGAGACATACAAGTGTATGAGTAATGACCCATAATATTGTAAGCCATTCTTTCGAAGAAAGGGCCACCAGATCCGGAGGTCAACACATTCAATGTAAAAAAAGGGTATGAAGAATAACCCATAAGAATGCAAGTAAATCTTTTGAAGGAAGGGCCGCCGGACCCGGAGGTCAATGCATTTAACGTATTAGATATGGGGAATGTTTCATATGGAGGTGAGTCATTTTCTGAAGGAAGGACAACCAAACCCGAAGGTTAATGGATATAGCTCAAAGCATGTGAGGGATATCCCATATAAAATGCTAGTCACTTCTAAGGGAAGGGTCACCATAAACCCGAAGGTCATGGCATAGTGCATAAAAAATGTGGGGGAAATCCCATGTAAAAGGCAGTCATCTTTGAAAGGAAGGACCTCCATGACTCGAGGATCCATGCATAATGCATAAAATATGTTGGGTAATATCTCACAAAGGAGGCTTGGCGCTTTTGAAGGAAGGGCCGCCTTGACGCAAAGGTTAATGCGCAAAGCACAATAGAATGTTGGTGAAGTCTCACAAAGAAGGCTAGCCACTTTCAAGGGAAGGGTCGTCATAGGCCCAAAGATTGTCACGTAGTGCGTTAGAAATGTGGGGGAAATCCCATGCAAAGGCGAGTCTTCTTCGATAGAAATGACCGCCGTGACCTGAGGGTCGAAGTATAATGCGTAAAACATGTGTGGTAATATCCCACAAAAGAGGCTAGCCACTTTTAAAGGAAGGGCCGCCATGACCCGGAGTTTGCGATTAGCATGTAAAGAATGTGGGGGAAATTCCACGTAAAAGACGACTCATCCTTTAGAGGAAGGAGCATGCCGGGGAGTCTAATCGAGCCAAAGTGTGAGGTTGACCGTGTCCGGGCGACCGATCGAGCCAATGTAATAGTGGGACATGTTTCACGCAAGGCACACATTGTGACACAATACATCATGCAATGTGAATGATCACAATTAATGGTGAGCCACACTCATCTAACGATCTCACATAGGCACTTGAGGTTTAGCACGTGGATATGCGACTTAACAACCTTCTGCTTTGGCGAGGCGTGTGGGGAGCTTCACGTTCAAATTTCCAAAAGGAAACTCTCCACAATGTTGTGGAATAGATTAGCTACAAAGTTTTTCCTATTCCACAATTCTTCATGATTCTACAAAGTGAGCTAGTCACAAAGCTTTTCTTACTTCACAAAATCTAAGTATTTCAACCCCTCCAAGGAGGGTTGGAAATGCCAAAGCAAGGAGAAATTGAGATTCCGACCTACTTAGGTGTAGACCAAAAGGTTCACAAGAGAATCTTTTGGATTTGCTAGGAATGTGTCCAACAAAAGGTTCATAACCTAGGGCTTTCTCTAGAAAATAAACGACCAATCAATTGGCATATGACCAAGCCAACTAGTTCCGACCGACCAACTTTCCTAGCATGGGGGACAGAACCCACAACCCCTAGCAAAATATACTCCTAAGGTCGGCTAAGGAAGAAATGCAAGGGAGTTTTACCTTTGCAGTGATTAAACGAAGCATTTTTTTCTCGTAGGAGGAAGCTCTTCTAACGTTAGGAGAGAAGACAAACATTTGACGAGGTTCCAAGCTCCGATAAAGTTCCGATGAGGCCCACTCCACTCCTTCTCCAAAGAACGAAGAAGATCTCCCTTAGAAGGAGAGTCCGACAAGCTTCTAGCAAAGTTTTGAGCTCCGGTGAAGTTCCGATGGTGCTCTAGCAATCCTTCTTCGAGCTAAGATGAAGCTCTCCTTTACTGTAGGAGAGTAGAGGCCTTCCTTCTTCATTAGCGGACCTTCTCTCCAAGAAGATCTTCACACACACTCAAGAAAAGTGGAGGAGGAAGATGGAAGAGATAAAGAAGAAGTTGAAGAAGATGAAGAAGATGGAGTTTGGAAGGAGAAAAAGAAGTTTCACTTCTTTGTTTGAGCTCGTCTCCAGGTTTTTCCTTCATCAAAGCTTCTCTCCGGCTCTTCACCACTTAGAGGAAGAAGAACCAGTCTTCTCATCTCTAAAAAAATGTTGATTTTCATGTAGATCATTTGATAGTGTTTTTTGATCAGTGAGCCATGGGGAACCAAACATGACTGAAATATAACCCCTTAACTTAAAAAACATGTATTTTTATCAGTCAATTATCAGAGAAATAGTCACTAACGATGGTTCTGGACTAGGGCTGTAAACGAGTAGAGGTTGAGCGAGCTCAAGCTTAGCTCATGTTCGGCTAGTTCGAAACTACTCGTGTTTGAAATCGGCTCGTGAACAATGTGTTCGTGTTCGACTCAATTTAAATATTAGTGTTCGTATTCGGCTCGTGTTCGACTCAAAATTGACTCGTTAAAATTAAATTGAATAAAATAAATATAAAGTAGTGGATTCGAACCTGAACTAAATATATGCAAAATAAAGCAATAACCACATTACCAAACGAGATGTTACGATTTAAATATAGATATAAATATATATAATATATTATTATATTAATATATGTAATATATTATTATATAAATAATTATATCTTTTTTTTATTTAAAGCTAAAACGAGCCGAACACGAGCGAACAAAGAGTTGTTCGGTCTCAACTCGTTTATAATTCGAGCTTTAAGAACTTATTCGTGTTCGGCTCGTTTACTTAACGAACGAGTCGAACACGAGCTTTTTTGACAACCTTATTCTGGACCACGGTGCAAGTAGGGTGTTCCAAACCCTAATTTTTGCACAATTGACCCTAGGAACATTATCATCAATTCAAATTAGTTATTTAAAAATTATAATCATAAGTTAGTTAATATCATTTTTCTAATTTTTATTTAATTTGTCTAAATGTAAGTTAACATTTAATTAGTTTAGTAAAATAATACCTAATTATTGATTAATTATGATTTAATAACTCTAATTAAAATTGGTATAAATAAAATACATACAATAAAATATTATAATCATCTAAATTCTTAAAATTTGAAACAAATAATCAAATTATTTTCTTAAATTTAATTGAATTTAACATCTATTTAAAAAATCCAGATTAGTTTCTCTGTTGTCCCTCCTTGATCCGTAGTCCGCCCCTTCCTCCGTAGTACCAACCAGAGCATTGACGATGGAGGCCGAGTGGGAGAAAGGTGAAGTTCACGACTGCGTGATCAAACTGGTCAGTCCGAGAACAACGACGATCTATCAATTTCCCCTTTTAATCCTTACAGAACGTACGATGGCAAAAATTTTATTGCATCTGATTGATTTATTCTGGTCGCAGAGGGAAAACCCCCGGAGACGAAAGGCCAAAGTGCGCGTTGGATGTGGAGCAGGATTTGCCGGAGATCGGCCCGCGGCGGCACTTAAACTGCTTCAGACAGTTGAAGAACTCGATTACATCGTCTTGGAGTGCTTGGCCGAGCGCACCCTTGCCGACCGCTACCATCTCATGGCTGCTGGCCAAAAGGGCTACGATCCTCGAAGTATGCCGTTATCTTTCTATTTTCTTCCCTTGTAATTTTACTTATTGAAATAAAAACGCCATCTTGTTGTCTAGTTGCTCAAAATGAGGAGCTAGAGGAAGGCAATATTGAGGGTGGGCGTCATATCGTGACCATCTTGCCATGTTTTGCTCCACTACTTGAGCATCGTGCCTGTCTTCCAAGTGTAGATGTTCCTGTTAAGAATGTAGGATGTCTTGTGAGAAGAAGAAACAATTGTCTTCAATACCATCAATCCTTGAAACCTCTATAATGTTTGGTTTGCTGAGGTTTTGTTTGTCAGGTTATTTAAATAACATACTAGTTATTTGGTTACTGGATCTCTAGATTGTAGATACCTAGGTGAGTAGTTACCTTAAAATTGTTGTTATCTAGATTTATACTAAATTGTCCCACGTCAATGGTAATGCCTAAAAACGGACGATGATAAATATGTTAGAAGCAATGAGAATCATTCTAAACAGCTTTGCAATATTATTTAAATTATAAGAAATCTATCAAATAGCAATTTATAAATCGATACACACCGTAAAACCTCTCAATTCATATGTTTCTAAAGGAACTAAAAAAATATCAAATAAGTAAGGGGGATCATTTTAAGCTGTCCGATGGATTAATTGAGATTTTAACAAACATAGTCAAAATGTCACAGTAAAAATCTATAAATAGAGAGTTATGCAATGCTTAATTAGGAACTTGAGTCAAGCGAGTACTTGAATTTGATGAATCTTGAAGCTGTTCTTACTGATTAATGCTCTTGATCATTGTCACTCGCTTGCTGTGGACTAACACTAACAATCAAAGATATCTGCGATCACCTGACTTTTTTTCGTTTATTTGTTGTTTCATTCCAACAATCGATGACAACATCTATAGTCACCGGTCCACCATCCCTAGCTACCATTGTCGTATGATCATTTTCTCAATCGTTAGTTGACATAAAATTCTATAATTTCTCAAAATTTCTTCAATACTTTTCACTATTCTCACTGGGGACAAAGTCATCAATTCAAATTTATTAATATTCTCTTATCTAGGTTTGGTTAAGGCATTTTTTTTGTAAGTATTACACTATATAATGGACTACTTCAGTTGGACTAAACCCTATGATTTTTTCTTTTTGAGATTTTCACGTAAAAACTCTTACATCTCTGTTGTCATTTTTTTATCCACGTCTGCAGAAATATTTTAGTATGCAACATAGATATTACTAATTTTACAGTAGTGTTATAATCATTCATGTAATTATGAGTAACAAACCTTGGTCTTTCCTTCATTACACTTTCTAGTACTTTATTTGTTGTTATGGGGAAGATCTTGTATCTTATCAATAAATCAACCATAAATTTTCTTATGTAGATTTATTTCTCAAGGTAAAGGTTTGTTTTTTCTTTACTTTCATGATGACTAGTTTTTTTAACACCTAAGATTAAGGGCTTTTAAATTAATTTATTTTTTCTTAATAATATCAGTAAAAGATAATGTACATAAGTAGTGAGATGCCACGAGTGGAATCCTATGATGTCCCCATAGGGCCATATCAAGGTTTTAACCCACCATAATGATGTAACGTACACTACATAGATGTATGTAACATCTAATAAAAACTATACAACTAGCCAAAGAAAGAGAACAAAATCTTCTTCAATGGAGTTGCCATAAATATGCAAGCTCTAAAATCTCATCTTGGCTTTTTCATTACCTAGGTGATTTTATTTTGGTTTTTTAGAAGCCAGATCATATGTTAAATAAGAAAATACCAACAAATTTCTTAGCCTGGGCTTGTTGGGTATCTCTTACTCAGTTCTTAAGATGAAAAATGAATACACATTCTTCCTTAGTGAATGGATGTTTGAAGGCCCTTCATCATAATGTCATTAGGATGATGGTTGGTGAACAATGAAGCGCCCATCACATTCTTCACATTTGAAAGAAATTAAAGATTTTATCAACCAAAGAATATTTTGATAACATAAAAAGTGAAGTTAATGAGGAAATTAATGACATTGGGAGTTTGTTGGATCAATATTAGCGAGAGCCACTCAAGGAAGTTGGCCAACAATATTGAAACCAAAAGGGTCAGTAGAGTTGTGAACGAGCCGAACATGAGCGAGCCCAAACTCAGCTCGTGTTCGGCTCATTAAAAAATATCACTGTTCATGTTTGACTCGTTAACAAAAAAAGTGTGTTTGTGTTCGACTCGTTTGTTTAGTAAGCTAAACACGAGTTGTTCGCGAATAAAGAGTTATTTTGATAACCCTAATCACACAGTTGTATGATGTTAAGAGTTGGGGCAAGATTTAAATCTTGTTGTTTATATTAAAACATCATTTAAATATAATTTAATATTTTTTTATTCTAGTTTAATTAATAATTTTAATTGATTTTAAATATTTGTAGCCTTTTAGTCAATTTAATTTTTTTTTAAATACTACTCATTAATATATATATATATAATTGATGAGTAGTATTTCGAGCTAAGATGAGTTGAACATGAACGAACGAATATTGTTCATGTTCAGCTCTTTTATATATCAAGCACAATAAAAGTGTTTGTGTTCGACTCGTTAACTTAGCGAACGAATCAAACACGAGCTGTTCGCGAACAACGAGTCTTTTTGATAGCCCTAAGGGTTAGGACTCTTCTGAAGTATCTAACAAAGAAATTGAGAACCTGTGCTGTGAATGAGTTGAGGAATTGCCTTGCTTTTAGTAGCCGTTGAATGAATTGCATAAGAAATTTATGGGCATCATCAGATCTAAATTTGCTTTTGGATTGCACTAGAGCTTTATTTATTAGTCAGAATAGAGAGAAAAATATGAGAAAAAAAAATAAATTAAAGTGAAGATATGGGATATTAATACTTTGACAATTTATTTGTAGGTATGTTTTGAGATACGACGTTATAGGAAAAGCTATATTAGTGTGATACAAGTAAAATTACGTAGCAAGGCTTAATAAATGCTCACTATTAAAATAATCAGTATTAGAAGTTATTAGGAATTGATTTATTTCCTTTCCTATTATTTCTTATTTTATATCTACCTATTTTATGCATTTTCTATTTTATTAGGATTGATTAATTGTAATCTTGGAGTTATATGCGTTATGTATTTTCTATTTTAGGATTTTGTATGTCGTATTTATACTCGCCCTTTTGTATCAATAAAGTATTTCGTTCTATTCTCAAAACTTGCATGGTATCAGAGCCACGAGATTAGAACTAGCCGCCTGAAATCCTTTCTATAGGAACTATCCGCGTAAACTTTCTCCCTGTAGGCTTTAGTCGTCGGAACTCCTCCCCATGCGGGCCCTAGATGTCAAAACTCCTTCTTACAGGTCCTTAGCTACCAAAACTCCTCTCCCTTTAGTCTCCTTGCTGCCAAAACACTTTCTGCAGGCCCTGGCTGTCGAAACTCCTCTCCCTGTAGTTCCCTAGCCGCCAGAACTCCTTGCAGGCCCAAATTGTTGGAACTCGTCCCTGCAGGCCTCCTACCCAACTTCCTGTTGCAGAAAAATTTCCATGCAGATTGCCAAATGCAGGGATCAATTTCTTTCGTGTCTCGACAGTTGATCCTCTCCTTTGGATCCGTTTGGAGCCATGGATGATTCCTCCATCTCCGAGCTTCTGCTTGACGTTATTCTGGAATCCACCAGAGGATCGACATCTACCTCAATACCTCCGCGGATCGGAGGACCTCATCAACGCATGAATTTTCTGATTACCACTCATAAACTCAACGGCTTCAATTTCCTCCAGGGGTCTCATGCTGTTTCGATGTTCTTTAAAGGCCTTGGTCAATTCGGCCACCTCACGGGACAATTCGAGAACCTCTAAAGACTGACCCAACATATGCTGTGTGTGAAGTGGAGAACTCCATAGTTATGTCATGGCTAATTAATTCCATGGAGATCTCTATTGGTTGTTCTTACCTTTTTCTTCCATCTGCAAGTGCTATCTCGACTGTCACTTGTGATACCTACTCGAGCCTAGGTAATTCTGAACAACTCTATGAAGTTTCTAATAAGATCTGCGAGAATAAATTTGGATCGAAGACAACGACCCAGTACTGCAACAACTTGGTTTCTATATGGATGGAATGTGACGTATACTATGACTACACTTGAGACTCTCCTGCAAATCTTTCCGTCTTCCATAAAACTTTGGAAAAGGATCTTGTTCCGATTTCTGATGGGTTCGAACAAGGATCTTGATGAAGTCCACAATCGTTTACTTGGCCGTGAACCTCTTCCTTTAACTTGGGCATCATTCCTTAAGATCCTCCGCGAAGAAAGCCGGAGACTTGTTATGCTCGACAACTCAACAAATTCAGCCGAGCCTTCAGTCTTGGTCTCTAATAGTACTCCACTACCACGCTGTTGCAAGCCAATTACTTCACATGTGATTTTTTCACAACTCTTACCATACCCGTGACAAGTGTTGGAAGCTCCACGAGGAACCAACAATAAGTCTTCTGCCAAATCCTCTATTGCTAAAGGTTTCTCTACGACCTCAAAATCCATGAAAGCTCAGGTGGCCCCTACTTGGACCATTCTCGACTCACCAGACTCTATTAAATTAAGAGTCAGATGGAACATTTCATTAAGCTGCTTGAGTCTAGTCAGCTCTCCTCTGACCTTTTGACCTCTCAAGTTCGTCAAGGTAACGTCTCTATGTCACTCACTGGTTTTGCTTCTTCTAGTCTATGAATTATTGATTAAGGTTCCACGAACCACATGACTGAGGGTTTTCATTTTTTTCTATACGTATTCTTCTTGCTTTGGGCGAGATAGGTTTACAATTGCCAATAGCTCCTTTAATTCCACTGATGGTAAAGGGTCAGTTGTGCTTGCAGCTAGATTGACTTTGGAATTTGTGTTACACGTTCCTTTACTTAAGTGTAATCTTTGATCGGTTAACAAGTTAACATGTGATCTTGATTTCATTGTTTTTTTTTCATGATGTTTATCTTTCAAAATC